TTATAAGTTGAATATTCTATAACTTTATCAATAAAACAATTAATAATTTGAGCAGATGAATAATGAATTAACCTTTGAACTATTTCAATAATTATAACTGCAAATCCTTTAATAATTATTTGTGATTCAGTAGTATTATCAAGAATTTGTAATATTGAATCAAAAATTCTATACAAACTTACAAATTCATTTGGATTAAAATTTTGAAACAAAGAATCAACTATTTTTGTTATTGTTTCTTTAAAACTAAATAAATAATTTGTAATTTCATTTGGATTTAATCGAGCAAATACAGAAATAAAATTTGAAATAGAATTTAAGTACTTTTCATAATATCCTTTAGGAAAAATACCAACTTTATTTGTTTCAGTTAATACAATAATTTGAGTTTTAATTATATCATCAATATTAATATTATTTGATTGTAGTAATGCATATTCACTTAATAATGGGAAATAATATGATAATGAAGATAGTGTTGTGATAACAACTTTTAATATAGACTTATCTTTTGTTAAATCATAAAAAGAAGTTAATTGTAACATTGAACATACAATATCTTTATATAATAAAATAAATTCAGGTATATGAGCATCTAATAATAAATCAAATGAAGATAATGTACTAATAACAATATTAAGTTGTTTTGACTTTAAACAATAACGAATAAAAATCATAAGTTTAGCTAATAAAGTAGGTGATTTAATAATATCTTTAATATATGTTTCATATAAATATAAAGTTTTAATAACACAAAAATTAATAGCCTCTTGATATGAAACGTCGTTATATTGTTGTATTAAAGAAAAAAAAAGATTTCCATAAATTTTATTTAGGATAATAATACTTATATTAGATGTTATGGCATCATCTAATAAATCACCAATTGCTTTAGTTATTTCTAATAAGTTAATTGGTGTTAATGATGATACATTTAAACAAGGAATTAATGCAATCCATAATAGTCTTAAATGTTTTTCTTTAATAAAAAGAGTACCAAAAGGATATTCTGAAATAAGAGGAGGAGTTATTGGAATAATAGGTAAAGTATTATAATGTAATAAATAATTTTTCTGAATAACAAGAATGAATTGAATAAATACTTTTCTAAATTCATAAAATGAAATCCAATAAGTAAATAATGTTGGAAATAATTTATATAACTCTTTTACTTCTTGAGAAGGTTCACAAACAAGTAATAAACAAAATAAAGTTTCTGACAATAATGAAATACATTGATGATCATTAACCAAAGAAGATTTCATAATTTTATAAAGAATAGTAAAATGAATTTTAAGTAAATGAATAAGTAATTCTTGATTTATTTGTTTCGTTTCAGTATATAAATGTTTTGATTCTCCTGAAGAAATTTTATTTAATAAATGAGATATTTTTAATAAAACACCAACTCGTTCAGGGATATTTAATTCATTTGAAAAAGAAAAAGGAAGAGTCAATTGATTAATCATAATCTTTAAAAATTCTGTTGTAATGATTTTATTTCGTGGAATTGAAGTCATCCATTCATCATAAATTTCTATTGCTTGATTAATTTTTATTAAAGTATCACTTCTAATTCCATCATAAAAACATGCTCCAAAAACTGATAATGTAAACATAAATTTATCTTTATTCACTCGTTTTTTTGACATAAAATTTGATGGAAATTTTGATGGTTCTTTTAATATTTCTTCTATTACTTTTTTATATAAAAACATTCTTGTTTCATTACTAAAAACTAATAACCCACTATCCTCATTTGATGGAGTAATAAGTTTTAAATCCCCTGTATCTAGAATCATTATTAATAGAATAAACTTTTATTTTTAAGATCTAATCTGAATAACAATTTGTATTATTTTTTTTTGTTATAATTATTTTTATAATGATTCGTTATAAAAATACTAATTTCAGGACATAATATAAAAAAAATTAAACAGGAAAATGAACTAAAAAATATTAACAAATACAACAATTAAATTACTATTATTTAGAACTATTCAAATAATAAAAAGATTAATCCACTCAAACAGAAGCATCAAAAAAATTATTATTAAAGAAAACTAAAGGTATTTTAAAGAAATAAAAGAATAACAGTAGTAAAAAAATGTAAAAAACAAAAATAATTCTATTAAAAAAGCATAAAAACGAAAATAAAGAATAAACAAGAAATAAGAAAAACAAGAAAAATAAAAAAGGAAGATTCTAATCTTTTGTTAATAAAAGATATATTCAAGGAGATTTAAAAGAACTTTAAGTAACCATCTTTAAATTAGAAAATCCTTTTTATACATGCTTACAATACCAAGTGGCTAATTCTTTGTTGTTGATAAATGGTATAAAAATATTATTAGTCATAAAGTATTTATTATTTGCTCAATTGTCTTAGTTATTTTTGCTTGTCAAGGAGATACTCATTTTTGTATATTCCAAAATCATGAACAACAGTGGATGAGCTTTATTTCTCAATCACAAATTAAAGAAGGGTTTGAATTTGGGCAATTTAAAATTACTACTTTTAGTAAAAATGATGAACTTATGTCATATGAAGAATTACCAATACCAAAAAGTATTGGTGATAAGTTAAATGATTATTCTGTAGTTGTTTGTCTTCATAATTGTGGTGCTTTAGCAATATGGTTTATGGCATTATTTGTTATGATCTTTTAATATATTTGTGTAATTTTATTTATGTTATATTTTATGTTTGTTTTAAATAACATTTATATTAATTGACTTTATTAAATTTATTTTAATTTACTTTTATTATTATGAAAAACTGTTTTTTATATCATTTTAAATAACAAATAAATTATCTTCTTTTGGGTAATGAAGGATGGACCATATGTGATACCGAAGCAGACGCTTTGGCTATTAATTGTTCCATTTCAACTTTATTTTTTGCCATTTTTTTGGCTTCATTTAAATAACTACTACCTTTTACTTTGTTTCCACTTTCTAAGAAAACATCAATGAGTGTAGGATTACCAGTTTGAGCTTGAGTAAATACAAAAGTGAATAAGAATATTAAAAGAACTTTCATTAATCTCTTTAAAATAAAATAATTTCTTCAGTTTTTTTTTCTTAAAAAAAAAAAATAAATAAAATAATAAATTTATAATAAATAAATAAATAATTATTAGTTTAAATAATCACGAATTATTACTGAATTTCTATTTGATATTCGTTGGACTGTAAAATCACAACAACACAATGGATGATGAACAAAATATTTACAAAGAATCAACTCAAAATATTCCATTTTTACAATGGCTTAATCAAAAAAAGTCAAATGTATTTTCTCAATTATATAATTATATTCCAAATAATTATACTTCTCCTCAATTATACCCAAATGAATTTATAATTTTCTTAGGTGAATTATTTCCTCCTCATATTGTTAGAACTGAAACATCAAATTTTTTTGATGTTGCTATTACTCATATCAAAGCATATCCTGCATTAACTTCATTAATATATTTTGTTTATCGATCTAACTTTAGTGCATTACCAAATACATCTTTGACGTCAGATGGTGGATGGGGATGTACAATACGTGCATGTCAAATGTTATTGGCAAATGCAATAATAAAATTATTTGGTTCAGATAATATTAATAGAAAAACTGTGATTCATTGGTTTCTTGATTTTTATAATTCTGAATGCCCTTATTCTATTCATTCATTATTTACTACTCAAATTATTGTTAGTGGAAATCCTAATGGTAGTTCTTTTCTTCCATTTTCTTCAGTAATTTATGCACTTACAGAATTAGTAAATAAAGACTTCAATAGAGCATTTGAATGTCATGTAATAACTAATAAATTTTTATTAAAATCAATTAATAAACCAACCATTGTTTTTATTCCTTTTACAATTCCAGATAAATTTGACCAAAGATTAATTACTATATTTTCTTTTAATTTATTTGCTGGAATGGTTGGTGGTTCTAAGCAAAAGGCATTTTATTTCTTTGGGATACATCACAATCAATTACTTTTTCTTGACCCTCATTTTGTACGTCCATGTGCATCTTCTATTATGAAATTTGATGAAAAAGATTATATTGCGAAATTATCAGATATTAAATCCCTTCGTATAAATGAATTAGAAAGGTCAGTTGTTTTTTCATTTGTTATTCACTCATTTCAGGAATTAATTTCTCTTCAAGAATTAGCAAAAAATGTTTTAGGAATTGATGATAAACAGTTAACAATCAAACGAGAAGAATGTGATGGCTTTGAAGTTCTTGAATTTTAAATTTATTTTTAAATCTATCGTAAATATAAAACTCTCTATTTTTTTGAATTTTATTTAAAAATTACTGAAATTAGCATTCATTCTTTCAATAAAATAAATTTAAACTTTATTTTTATTTGAAGAATCATGAAATGGAACTTCTTTTTTATTTCTTTCAAATATTTTTCTTCTTAAACACTTAAATAATTTACTCGCATTTTTAATTTTTATTTATTTGAAAAAAGAGGAATTTAATTTGAATGGAATTAACTCTCTAGTTAAATCAAAACCCTTGTTATATAATAATAATTTATTATTAATAAAAAATAATAAATTCGTTTGTTTCACATGAAGTAACTACAAAACTAAAAATGACGACACATATTATAAGTTTTTATTTTAAACCGTTGATCTAAACATAGAAATTCTATAATTAGGAAATAAGAAAGACATGTACTATTTAAGGTCGAACTAAATGTTATTTATTCATTAGTATTGCTTTGTAAGTATTAATATGTCTGAACAAATAATTGAGAGCAGAGAAAAGTTTAATAAAATTGATCGTAAGATTCCAGTATTAAAAGCCTCAAGAGAATTTAGAAATGCCCAAACGATTCAGCAATCTATCCTTATTGGTTTGCTAAATAAATATTGTACAATTACTATTGGTCAACCAGCTAAAAAAAGTACTGTTACTCAACAGTTTATGAGAATTATATCATTAGATTTTGGTGGTAATGATATAATTCTTATGGATGATTTTCTTAAAGGTAGATGCTTAGAACAAATGAACCAAGACATTAGTGATGGTGTTTCTCAAAAGACTGCTTGGCGAAGATATCAAAATAATAAAAAAATTGAAGAAATCCATTTACTAATGGATATTCTTACAGAATATGGATATTATTTTACCGCTCATCCAATGAAAGGAAAGTCTGAAACAAAAAAATTGGATATTATTCATTCAATTCATAAAGAAAATTTCGATTTTTCATTGAATTTTCTTCTCAATGAAGGAGAACGTATTAATAATTTAATTTGTTCTCTTTTACAAACTAAAGACAAATCTATTGTCATTCGCACTAATCAACTCTCTACTCGCTTCTAACGCGAAATTTCGCATGTTTAATATCATTATTTCTATCATTGATATTTTTAATTCTTTCTTATTATATTAATTATTTTTATTTTTAATCTCCTTTCATTTAAAATTTCTTTTGACTTTTCTTATATTTAATTCTTCAAATCATACAATTAACAATTATTTTTTTTTTTGGTTCATCGTTTTTAATTCTCAAAATCTGCGTTAAGAAAATACTGACGTATTAGTAAATTCTTCTTAAAATTTAAAAGAAGTTACAAAAAAATAAAACCCAATACTAATTCGTACTATTGAATATTCTTATAAATATATTTTTGATGGTATTTTTTTATTTGTTAGAATTATACTTAAACCCTTTTTTATAACTACAAAATATTTATTATTAAAATTCTGAATAGTTTTTTTTATTCTCACAGAGAAAATATATTTAGTATAACACTAAATAGTTTAATTTACTGAAAATAAATTTTCAATGTTTTAAAAAATTATTGTAGACTATGTTTTATTATTACTATTTAAGGGTTGTCAAATTTAATGTATGAAATAAAAATATAATACTAAATTGTGTTTAACAAAAAAAACTAAGAACAAAATTCCTTTCTTCTTTATTCACGTAGCTTTTTATGATTAGTTTTTAAAAACAGTTAGATCCTTTTCATCCAGTTAATATAAACATGTCTATTGTTAAATATTTAGTATCTAATCTTTTTACTGTGATATATGTTACTTAAACTTATAAATATTCTTCATTCTTAGTCTAACTATATATTAAAATGAACTATATAAAATACTATAAAATTACCAAATATTTAGTTTAATGAAATAGCAATTTTGAATCATTCATTATTTTTATTCAATTTGTCTATCTATTCTAAATCAATAAAATTTAATTATTCACACATAAACCTATTAACATTAAGACATTTGTTCTTATTTTTTTTTAATTCAATGTTTTGGTGATAGTATTGTTATATTAACGAATATACTAATATGAGACAATACAAGGTTCTGGTTTGTCAAATAGAGAAAAATTTAGTCTTCCATATTTTCCATATAAAAAGCTTCATCTTACTGGAAATACAAATGGAACAATAGGTGTATTAATTTTTTAGAATATTCTATTTAACTCGTGTTATTTGTAATACATTATTTTAATAATTGAAAAATTATATTTATCTGATGAGTCTAATAAACTATTTTGAGTAAGAAACTCTTTCTAATACAACTTTTGTTAGTACAAGAACTATTGTACAACTACTTAGGTAATTTAAAAATATATAAAGATTTAGATGTTTTTCTCTAAGCAACTCTAAGGTTTAATTCCTTTTTATTGACATAATTTTCCCTTCATACTATTTTATTGTGTTGTTTGAGACTTACACCTTTTATCTTTAAGACGTTGGTTTTTAATAACTTTAGTCATTTCTTTTTGTGTTTTATACAAAATGATATGAAACCTACTTTTTTTTAGTCATAGAAGAACGAAACAAAACATTTCAGTCAAGAATATAAAAATTAAAATGTTAAAAATGCAAAAATACTCTAGTTGATTGGTTTAATTGGAACATTAATTAAATCATTAGGAGAAGTTATGTTATTTGACTGTATTGAACAATTAGCTGAAGGAAAAGTATTAAATGAATTTACTAGTTTAATACAGAATTTGAGTAATAACATTCCTCAGAATGGGTATAATAGAGTGAATTAATTATTATTTCTTGTCATCCGTTGTTCTCTTTTCATCTCTCTCCACCACTTAAATAATTCATCATGTTTCCTAATAATTTCTTCTCCAACTTTACCTTTTTCACTAGTTATCCAAATCTTTTTTTGAATATTTTCTCGTTGTGTCTTGTCTATATCCCATCGGTTAATTAGTCGTTTAATTTCCTTTTCTTCTATTTCTCTTAATTTCATTGGGTTTTTCATGATTTTTTGTATCTCTTCCTTCCTTCTTTCTTGTGCCATAACTATTGGGTCTCTGCTTATTTTCTTTTGACTTTCTTCTTTATCATTCTGTTTTTCTTCTTTGTCTTCTTTTCTTACAACTTCTTCCTTTGCTTGTTCTTCAAATCCTATTGGTGCCTCATACATCCAATTAAGTCTCTCAACATACTTCTCTCCTTTTAATAGACAATTCCTCTTTGCTTCTTCTTCTCGTTCAAGCTCTTCAAGACGTTCTTTCTTTAGCACTTCAATTTGATGTCTCTCTTCTTCTTTACGTCTCTCAGCTTCCCAGACTTTCTTTTGGTTGGATAGTTTGGCTGGATGAAAACTCTTCTTAGATAAAAATCCTTTGTTCATTGCCTTTTCTTTGAACTTCTTGTTTTTGTAGTTTTTTTTTCATCCTTTTGACTGATAGGCTTTTCTTATTATGGTTTGAATATCAATTCATTCATATTTTCTTATATTCTTTATCTTTTTGATTTATTTCTTATTTGTGTAACAAGAACCATTCACTAATAAAACATCATTAGACAATATAATGTCTCTATCTAGTAGTAGAAAGATATTCTTAAAACCAACAGAGTTTATTCTTTTTCTTTATCTTCATAGATTTTTAAGTGTTATAAATTGAGTTATGAAAAGAATGAACATAACACCTTTTTCAATATTTATTTTACTGAAGCATTTAATTGTTACTCAAGAAATTGAAGTATCAGAGCTGGGGGGTATTTCTATGACATAACTTGGTATTGCACCACAAAAACTTATTAACATTTTTACTTATGACAACAATTTTTATGTTAGAAATATAACTTACACAACACACAAATTAATTTTATGAAAAACTCAGATGTTGTTAAGTAATGAACAACCAGAAAACCATAATTTCACTTCAATAAACTATTAAAAAGGAAGTTATTTTGTGGATTTATACATAAACATATCCAAAAATTTTATTCTAAAAGAACAATTAGTAAATTAAGTGTTAATAGATTTTTCATATATTCTTCTTTGCTAAGTGAAGATTAATCCCATTCATGAGTTTGTTTAAAAAAGAGTAATCTTTTTGTTTAATTGACCATTTAACTTTTTCTAGGAATATGAGAAAAATATTTCTTTGTTTTATTTTTTCCTATTAATGTCTTCTCAAACTTCTTCTGCTTAATTCTTCTTTTTAACCTTTTGTTTATTTTCTGTCTTAATTTTAAACATTTTCTTTTTCTTTTTTTCTTTATTTTATGAATGAGAGAAGAGACTATTTCATTCCCATTATATTATTATGTTTAATTTTCTTTTAGTCTTACCCACACTTTAGTACTTCCTTATATTACACCATGTAATATTCTATCATAATACCTCAATACATTTTTTGTAGCATTCCCTAATACATTTCTAATTCAAATACACCGTCATAACCAGAAAATAACAGGGAGTGTCAATGCTTGAATTTGTACTAGGGTTTGTGTGGTGTTTTAGACATGCCACCTTCTATTTTTTTCCTTCTATGAAAGAAATTGTAATAAATGAATAAAAATAGGAATTGAAATAAATAATTTGTTGTTGAAATAAAGTTTTCTTCTATAAATAACCAAAAAAGATAAGAACTAGAAAAGAATATGAGAACGATAAAACCTAAAATAAAATTATATTGAAATAGAAAAAGAATTAAAAAAAGATTACTATAATTAAAACGATACATATAAAAACGACTAAAACTTAACAAAAATCATTTAAATGTCTGTCAACCAAAAAACAATTAAATCTGCTTTATCTACAAGTGAATCAGCTAATAAGAAGAGAAAATCGGTAAGTATAGAAATTAAAGAGGAGAGCTTTATTATTGGATGTGCAATAAAGGTTGGCATTCATTTATTGTTAGAAAGAAAAACAAAGAAAAGTGAAAGTCTTCAAAAATTTAATATTATTGATATTTCTGTTCCTAAAGAAGCTCTTTTAGATGAAAATATTAATAAAGAACTTCAAAAATTGTTCATGGTACAACAAGAAAAAAAGGAGGGATTAGTTCAAAGAGATTTAGACAAGTCAAAACAAAACAGTATTTATAACTTTTTACTTGAAGTATTAAGTAATTATGGAAACCAAATTAATTATATGAAAACAAGAGGTAGTTCTAACACAGTTAAAAGGGAAAGAATATCAACATTTAATGGATTAAATCAAAAAGAAATATA